GAAAGCTGAAATTTTAAGGGATTGTTCCCCGCCCAAGTAGGTACTAATGAGCTCAAATCCAGCCCCGGCTAGGCGTAGTACCCGCGTACGGGCCCCCCAAAATTTTTTCCGCGTAAATTCATAACTCGGGGTTCTGAGATGCTAGAAAGCTGAAATTTTAGGGGAATGTCCCCCGTCCAAGCAGGTGCTAATGAGCTCAAATCCAACCCCTGGGTTAGCGTGGTACCTGCGTACGGCCCCCCCAAAATTTCTCCCACGCAAATTCATAACTCGGGGTTCTGAGATGCTAGAAAGCTGAAATTTTAGGGGAATTTTCTCCGTCCAATTAAGTATTAATGCACCCATACCCATTCCTCGGATAAACGTAGTACCCGCTTGCGAGCCGCCAAAATTTTTTTCGGGTAAGTCCATAACTCGGGGATCTGTGAAGCTAGAGAGCTGAAATCTTAGAGGGTGTTCCCTGTCCAAGTGGGTATTAACGAGTTCAAACCCTGCCCGCAGGTAAGCGTGGTACCTATGTACAGCCCGTGAAGGCTCCTTCCGGGTAAGTTACTTACTCGAGAACGTGAGAAGCTAGAAGACTGGAATTTCGAGAGGATGTTTCCTGACAGTTCTGGCGGCCAGTCTGAAATTCTTTCAACTAGAAGCAACTGCCGAAAAAACCGATTCCGGTAGCGACAAAAACTGCGTGGAATTCTGCAAAAAACGCAACTTCGCACGGGCAGCCCGTGCGTTGGCTAATTATTTTTATTGCTTTGCAATTTCTCTGAAATAAAATGAGTTGTGATGTGTAAAAAAAATTTTTAGTCGGCGGAGCAAAAGCTGTTGGAAGCGGAATCTCAACAGTGGTTTCTGGAGCCGGAGAAAAAGTTGGTAAGTAAGCATGAGCTGAAAAATGCAATTCGGCATTGCAAATTTTGCAACTTCCGTAATTTTTGGTTTTTATTGTTTCTGCAGTTTTTAAATCTTGAAAATTTTGAGTTTCTTGGCATTTCTAAAATTTTCGTTCTAATTCTAGAATTTTCAGTGTTTTCTTGATTCCATTCGAAGATTTTTGAAAAAATCACGGTTTTGTCATAAAATTCCGACTCCGCAATTACCATTATCTTGGTGCTTGAATTTATGAAATTCCTCTGCTACTGAGTCTGAAGTTTATAAAGATTTCTTTTTTCTATTTCGATATTTTCTCTTTCTTAAAAACTGGTTAGTCAACCCATCTTTTTCTAGCAGCTGAAAGGAGCTGCCTTTTCAGGTGAAGGTGTCGAAAGCGTCGGTCATGGCATCGCTGGTGTTGGCGAAAACATCAAAGAAAAAGCTCATGATTGAAATAATTTCAGGAGCTGTGTAAATGAATTTTTGTACTCTGTAATTTAACTACCACTTCCTTTTTCTTGCCACAATTTTTTTGCCGCTTGTCTTCCTTCCCTCGAATTGTCCATTAGTTTCGGGGCTTATTGGGTTTGTTTGAAACACTACAAGAAATTTGCTAAAATTG